AAAACCTGAAGGCACTGAATGGCCGTTTCGTCCCAGTGTAAGGCTCTTCAACAGTGCACATCTCCGGTTTTGACACTGTTGCACGCTATCCTAGAGTTCTGTAGGTTAGGTGTTCGTGTATGAAACCGAAAGTGTTAATTTCAATCCTCAAATGCACTGTCGTGGACGTGCGTTGCTAAGGAGTCGCATACTAGGACGAAACGGCTATCCAGTGCTCCCAGGTTTCCAATGATGATTTAGCTATGACTATCTCATGAGTTAAACTGTGAGAACTACAAGACCTCTACAATTACCTCTACCTAAACAAATAATTATTGAAGAGGGGAATTTAAGAAACATGAAAATTATTAATGACAGATTTTGTAAATAATGTCAAGGAATGGGATCTCCTCAATATCCTACATCTGCCTCATTTCACTGAATAGTTTAAGCTCTAACTAACATACAATAATTCGTTAACCTACGATGTGGTATATATATATATATATGATCATACAGGGCTATGACTGAGCTCGTTAAAAAGGATTCCTCCGCCTAATGGGTTGGTTTATGCGTGCATCAGTATAAACGTAATGGTCTTTTTTAAATTAAGATTAAAATGGTTTGTAGTTGATTATGTTTTAATCACATATATACATACAGAAACAAAAATGATTCATCACACATTAATGAAAATAAGAATATACATTTGAAAAGTATTTACTTCATGAAACAAATTTTATGATTTTTTAGGGTATAAAATGTTTGTTAATGGACTAGTCAGTTGCATCTCAAATCATGACAGTATCAATATACATTATGAATCTCACCACTGATCATAAGACCATTACGGGCATTCAAACACACTTCAATCTTTAAAATTTGTCAACTTATATTAATATCGAATTCGAATAATAATAATATTAATAGCAACGATAATAATAACCACTTGTTCAGTACTTTAAGGATAGATAATAAAAAAATGGGACTCTGCAAGTAAATATCATAGTATTGCAACATTTTGGTTATAAAAAGCTCAACTATCTCTCTTTAGCAATGATTTCGTGAATACTGTTTCTTAATCATAAATCAATATAAATTGAGGTAAAATTGAAAACTAGGGAATATGAGATAGTTGTTGACGAGCAGTACTAGATGATGTCACGCTCTAACGTCTTGATCGACGTCGGAAACGGGAATTAATGAACACTAACTTAATGATCATTAGATAGCTCACCCCTTACTACATCTGAAGTTTATCAATCCGATGCCCTATAGGTTATAAGTATTTCTTGTCAAAGATTCAGATGAAAAAATATCTAACAGGCATTTAGTTCGCTTCATTTTATTGTTTTAACAGTCGATATAAATCTGTAGTGTAAATGAAGTCAAATGTAACTATTTCCCTACAACCACTCATTCAAACAGTAACACATGGTCACTTTCAAATCTAAAGGATTTTGCCTCTCTTACAACCTTTCGTAGCATAATAGACATATTAAATATGGCATTTAAGACGTTCGTTTCAACTTACATGCAGAATTTCTAATTTACTCGTTTTATTTTTAAATTATCGCTAAAATATGTATTGAGGGTAAATTTCGTCCTCGTAAACTAACAACACAGATAAATTGATGAAGTCACAACAGGCTCAAATTTTAGTTTAACTTTATTCATATCGAATGTAGTGAGCTCCCTCTTCATCTTCATTAACATGAACACAAATTAGCTATCATAGGTCACAACATTGATTTTTTTTAAATATCAATAGATGTAGACCTTTAAGTACATATGCGACTAAGAAAATGATGAAATCTTGAACAGAAGTAACATAAAGAAAACCAGGAAATTTCTAAAAGCTTGACACTCAAATCATTTAGCAAACAAAAAATATACTGACATTGATCTAATTTTTTAAGTTGATTAGCATAAAGAAATAGATCAAAGAACATAATAACCAAAATAAACGTGTAATCGATTATAGAACAAGAGTTAGCAATGACCAATTAAATTCAACATCAATAAAACAAATTGCTAGTCATTTGTGGAAACATTCTTATAGCTCATAAGTTTGTCACAAAAAAACCCATCTAAGGCATCATGATCAAATCAACTAAACCAGAGATTCATATAACAAACAGAGTGATAAACATTTTTCTTAGATCTATTTATTGTTATATGAATCTTCCTAAACTTTTAAGTGTAAAATCTACTATTCCTTAAACTACTCTGTAAATACCAATCAGAATCGTGCTCCAGTAACCACCCGTTAACCTAATCATATCAACAATTGTATGGTAGAAGAAATAAACTTACACTTGACTACTTATTTGAAATATGAATTTTTCCCAACATCATGTAAACAGATTCATAATTTGTTATACAATAAAGACAAATTATTATATTAAGGTATATATATACATAGATATACGTGTTCTATGCTAAAAAGAGAAATATTGACACTGACAGATTATCTGTCTTCGGTATTTATTATTATTACTATTTATGTGTTTATGATACGGATCCATTATATACATAAATCATTATAGACCTAATAAATATTAATATATATATGTATATATACGTATATATTCATTTTATGAGTCAGGATGTTGTTTACATAGAAAAATAAATAATGGAAATTGATAATCTATGCAAGTTCTCAAATGTTTTGTATGATTATACAATAGGAAGTATTATAAACAAAGATCGATAGTGGTTAGCAGTGAAGTCCAGGACACACGTTTCGTCCTATTTCAGACGATTCAAGTACAACAAAACCGAGTGAAAGTAATATTATCGTTAAATATATTATTACTTATTTCACTTTCTATAAATTAAATTGATTCCTATTTATAAATTGGCAACGTTATTTAACCTACGATTGAATTCCGATATAATTTAAAATCCTAGTCATTTCAAACATTTACAAACTTCAATAGCTGAATTCATGAGTCATTTGAAGCTAGACCACCATGGAAAAACTTAAAGCATTGGACGGCCATTTCGTCCTAGTATGAGACTCCTCAGCAGTGCGCATCCACAATCTCGTCCGTTAGATTCGAACCCAGGACCTATCGGTCTCGCACGTGAACGCCTAACCTCTAGACCGGCATCCAACAGTGTTAATGTCTAACTTCCAGGTTTTCCATGGCGATCTAGCTTCAATTGACTCATGAATTTAACTATTAAATTACTAAGATCTCCACAAAACTCTCTTCTGATTTAAAAACTTGTCTTACTAATTATTCTCAATTCAAATCTCTTGTAATAAATAAAATGTCGTTACTTTAATCTTGATTATTCTGTTTTTTTTAATTATCCGTCTGAACCTGTTGTTATAGATCCTGATAAGAATTTATTTTAAAAATATCTTTCATCTCTATATATAGTTACTCGCTATTAACTTCTGATATACCATTTACTCTAAGAAAGAGTACGTTTAATCTATAAATTCAGTAAAAGACAAAGTTTAATAGTTTTATCAAATTTGGTGTTAAACGGTTAAGCACAGGTTTTTTTTTAATCATTGAAAATAGTTTGAATCAATTTTATATTTTTTTTCCACTATTATTTATGGTGAATTTTTTAAAAGGAACAGTAACTAAGTTAGTCGACAACAGAAAAGCTTGAAATTTGTTGAAGTTTGCTACATAAGATCTATGTGGTTTGATGTAAAGTCCACCATACATATAAGTTTTAACTAACTAGATTACTAAACTGGTTAGTTATAAAAAAAGTTCTAGCCAATTTAAATAAGAGTTTTTAATATTGTTTTAGCTTAAAAATCTAATTGAGATTAAAAAAAGCATAGTGGGATGCTGATGATATTATAAGCAATACACTTTTTAACCTTAAACCAACGTTTTAAACTATGATAAACAGGCTTTAGTGGGCTTTTTTGTTTTGTTAGGTAACTTTCTAATCCCTTTCTATTCATAACAATAGTCAGTTATCTATAAACGATTAAAGAAAGTTTGTATCTGAAATCTTCTGGCTATCGACTTATTTATATATTGCTTTACATTTTAGTGTTTCATTACCCATATAAAATTAAATAAAGGATAATTTTTAGGCAGAAACGAATAGTGGTTAGCAATAAAATCCAGGACACATGTCTCATCCAATATCGGACTCGTCGGCTGGATGTGCCTACATTCCAGAGTTGATGTTCATTCTGAGATTAGAATATAATACTGTTCACTTCAAACGTCATCGTTTTATTCACTTATTCACTAGGTCCCGGAGTAAATATCAACTCTGCGATGCAGGTACATCCAGCCAACGAATCGCGAATAGAACGAATCACACGTCCTGTATTCTACTACTAGCCACCATCCATCTCTACTTATAATGTTTATGACTTAGTAGCAATATCAAGGCCGTTCGCGCATGATGTATAAATGCCAAAAAAGAGACCAATCAACAGCAATCCAACACTAATAAATTAAGGAATAAATTTAATTCGCATAAAACTTATTTCCGTAAATTTCGTCTTCTACTATTTTGATTAGGGATTTAAGAGGAAAACAAATTTCAAACCATATCAAAATCATGTACTAATGAAGGTGAACTACTGATTAGATGGCCGGTTTGATTTGCAAAGTGCCAAAAGTTTCGATTTGTGTAGTGTTTCCAAATAAACGGTGAAGGAATCCTACTTTGATGATTGTGTGCATAGAATCCTTTGATCAGTCATATCTTTTAATACATTTTGTGATTTATGGAAAATAAACTATTGGCGAGATTATAATTTATGGACGAACCAACCAGATTCGTATTAAAAGCAGGTCGTGGATTTCGGCGCAAAATTCCTCATCCATTTGACTAAATAGCGTCTTGGCATTTTAGCTCATATCAGTTCGTGATGCAAACCTTATCCTTATCCCTAACCATCAATTGTAAATCACAATCCTTATCCTTTACACAAGTTTAAAGCCTAAGTCAGTAGGTGAACATTCTCAAGGCCACTTTAGCATTACTCAAAAGTCATGCATCATTTACAAATAAAATTAACCTACCAATTTTTCAGCAACCATTTACATCAGAATAATTTCAAAACTACAATTAATTGTAATATACTTAAATATTTATTTAAAATTTTAACGATATCAATCATTGGTGGAAAGAAATGACTTAACAGATATTTGTGATATTTTGATTGGTCAAAAGTATTCCTAGAATTGCCTACTTCTATTTGAGCTATTACAGTGTAGAGTATTAAAATAGAATATATATATATATATACCGTGTTATCAGTTTCGGTCAAGAATAAAACCCATTCTTGTCTATTGTTAAATTTATAATTAAAAATGAGTGATCAAAATTGATCGTAACACAGTTTTTGTTTACTGTTTTGCAATGTGATCTATAGTCTCAACCTTTGCAATATGATATTTTTTTATGATTTTATCTGGATTGTCTAAAAACGAAATAAATAGGTAGTAAGATGACTGAGTAAACATTTATAATAATAGGAAAGTTTATAAAAAGGAATAATACAACTGTGGTAAATGTATTTTCTTTTCTTTTAAAAAATAAACCATTGGTAAGTGTAACTCGGATTGGCTCCAACAATATTCAAAATACTAATCTCACTATATACAAAGTTTAATTGATTTACTTGATAGAATCATAATGAAAATTCACTTTGGTATTTTAAGATGGTAGAGATGATTTGTAGCTCAGGTAGATGATTTAAATGGAGTTTTATTCTCTGAGCACAAACTTCATATAAACGTTTGTGCTGACGAAACTGTTCAGAAGAACAATGAAAGCTTCACGACCAAACCATCTAGCTCAGAGAATAAAACTCAATTTAAAACTTTCGTAATTCTTTTACTCATACTTTGATTACTGATTTTTAATCAGTAAAAATAGTTAATGGAAATTTAATGTTAATTTGTATTGTTTCTCATGTGTAACATAACAGTTCAATGTTGTTCTGTTACTTTTCACACGTTTTTGTTTATAGTGTTGTTTGGGAATTTATTTGAAATGATGTAGAAAATATGTACATCAATTAGTTGCTTTTAGATACATTGAGTTCTTTGAGATAGTTCTTAAGGAAGAAAGCAAGTTTTTTTTACTGACAAGTTGTTCTGTGTTTAATTATAACCATTCAATTGAACCTTTATGTCAGTAGTCGTCACTTGACTGTTTTAATAATAAAACAAAAGGATTAAAAAAATTGTTAGGTATTTAAATTGTTTTCTTAAATAACTGCTGAAAGATACCTAATTCTAGACTTAGGTGATTAACATATATGCAATGAGTAAATAAATAGTATTTCTGGACTATCGTTAGTTAAATAATATGAAGACCATTCTGAAATAAACCTGAATTAAAAGTCACTAAAAAGCTGAATTGATTTAAACTCTTACAACTTGGTAATCAAGCAAATGGTCATGGACACAGTGCTAAAATACACTAACTGTATGAATAGCCATATTGAAATCAGTGAAAAGGTATTGAAACTTGTGAAATTATTATTGAAATTCAAATTAATAAGCTATCTAACCGAATGTACTTATAGTAAACGAGGACACAAGTGAGCACCATCGAATGTATTTGTGTAAAAAATTACGAAAATCTTAATAAAATCTGAGAATCATACGATAAATACTTCATTTGCAAAATGTAAATCAATTGTCTCAAACTTGACTGTTCCCTTTTGCAAATATCAGTCAGTCGTTTCAGATTTCATTTTTCTTTTGTTTCCACACCAATCATTTTGTGTTTTCATTCACTACATTTGGTGTAGCTGCCAAAATCAAATAATTCCAAGGTATTTAGGAAAATCTGTCTGATGAATTTAACCAACTTAAAAATAAAAAGCAGACAAATAGTCTTTCCTAAAAAACATATCTCTAAATAAAAACTGTTGACAAGTGAATTTCAGTCTCTGCATACCAAATGAAAATATCTAACAAGTATTACTGATAATCATTAGTGATTAGTATACTTCACTGAGAATCAGAAGTAGATTTTAAAATGATAAATGCAACTGGAAATAACTGGAAATAATTGCCCAGGACAGAGTTGGATGGAGAATGCTGGTGCATGACCTATGCTCTTCCATGAGGGATAACACGTATAAGTAAATTAGTAATACTTATAAATACACAGTTTGAAATGACTTTTCCTTGTGAAATGATTTTAACGAAGCAAACGTTGAAAACCTGAAAGTATTGAAGTACTGAATGACTTTTACTCCGGTTTGTGACTTCTTATACACAGCCTAACATGGTAAGGAACCCTTAAAATTTAGGCTTTATAACATGCAACACATCCAATGAATACATAATATCACCTTTATTTGTTCTCTGCAGTCAGTTATAGGCTTACTTCTGACTTGATCAATTACACATATTACTGCTTCCCAGTATGAATTCTAAAAAAGCCATCCTAAATCTAGTCGTTAGAAAATCATCAAACTGATGAAATTCCGTTTCTGTATTAATTTCCAGTATTTTTTTCCTTACAAAACAAAATATCTCAACAGAACTATTAATATACCTAGTTCTAAATGGATTTTACGTATAACTGACTGAAATGACGTATTTTGTAGTGTTTAATCATGTGATTATTGGTTAATAATTCTTCTCTTGTTGTGTGGTTTCTATTAAAACTGGTAACTATTGTGGTTACAAGATAGGATGATATAGACTGGAATTACAGAAGAATAGAAAGCTTAAGAGAAATTATGATAGATTAATTACATTGAAAGAGTAATCAAAGAAATGTAATCCATTCAGTAGTTATCAATAAATTATATACAAAATGTAATTATTTATACAACTAAACTTATGTGACTTTATTAAGAACTAATTAATGATCATGGTCAAACACTACTTGAAAAGTTTTACATTGGCTATGAACAAAAAAAATTCACAAATCTCTTAATTGATTATACTGTAAAAATATAAGACTAATACTGTGGTGTATGCTACTGATGTCAACAGTTATAAGTAATATGTATCATCAATAGCAAGTGAAATGCCTGGTGGCGGAAGGTTAATAAGATCAAAGAAAAGAGAACGAGAACAGAGGATGATTGATGTGTAAATGAAGTAACAATGAAGTCTGAGACGAGTGGTTAACATTTTGTAAATGAAGTATTTAATGTATGGTTCTCAGATTTTACTAGGACATTTTGTAATTTTGAGTGCAAATACATTCGATTTTCCCCACAACAATTATATTTGTACACATAGTACAATAACTTAAATTTTGTCAATGTAATCATGAGTCGATTTCCTTAAATCAGTAGTCTGATCCACTTTATAATGCATCATGAACCAAAATTATATAAAAAGTGCTCATGAGTGGCAAGTGTTTGAAAGTATTCTATTTAAAAAATAATTAGTCTAAATATAATTGACGTTATTCACTTGGTTAGATCCTATTACCTTCTATGATATAAATTCAGGACACATTATCAGATACTATTATCGTTGGTTCTTCAAGGTTATCAGAGAATTTGATTGTAAAGATTGTGATGTAAATAAATTAATTGAAAACAATTGGTCATCAGCTGTTTAGGATCATGTTACACAGTTACTTTTGAGAGTGAATAATGCTATTTGGCGTTTCAAACTGAAGTAATGAAATTGAATTTTGAACTTTGATATAGTGATTTTAAATATTATATTAACCGACATTGTTGTTCAAAAACGTTTACTTTTATTATTTTTCATCTAAATTTTATATGTTTCTTACTTTTTTTCATATTGAATGGCGCAATAAAAGTTTATTTTTAGTTTATGAACGAACAAGGGCCGCATTTCTACAACTAAAGAACATATGAAACTCAAAACAACTTTCAACAAATATCAAACTCAGTATCTTCAATACGAACATCAAGGCAGTTCTACTGGACGGAGTTGAAACTTCCAGAACTACTACAAACATCATCAAGAAAGTACAAGTATTTATAAACAATTGTCTACGCAAAACACTCAACATCCATTACTCTGATACCATCAACAACAGTCTAATGTAGGAGAGAACACACCAGCTTCCAACTGAAGAAGATATTAGAAAAAGACGATGGAAATGGATAGGACATACATTAGGCAAATCACCAAACTGCATCACGAAGCAAGCTCTAAGTTGGAATCCTGAAGGGAAGCGGAAAAGAGGAAGGCCAAAGAACACATTACGTCGAGAAATAGAAGAAGATATGAAAAGGATGAATAACAAATGGAAAGAGCTGAAAAGGATTGCCCATGATAGGGCTGTATGGAGAGTGCTGGTGTGCGGCTTATACTCCTTCACGAGGAGTAACAGTTGTAAGTAAGTAAGTAATGTTTTTATAAATAAATAATCCAAATAAAGAAAAACAAAACAAAATAAAACTTTGGTTATCTGATTAAAAGGAACAAAAAGATTATTCAATGTTTTTTTATTATTTAGAATATGGAACATGATTTCTTTTTTATATCATTAACTATCTAATTTGATTAGTGAATTCCATTTTGTTTTCGGTAACAAATTTAGTCTTTTAATTACAGAACATTAAATAAATAAATAAATAAATAAATAATATATATATATATATATATATATATATATATATATATTAATTGATATGTTTTTTTGATAGTGAGTAAACTACTTAAATATCTCCCGTATATCAGTAGTAACATATACAAAAGTGAACAGAAAAAAACTGTTTAGAAGGTTTGATCTCGTTTCTTTTTTAAAAAATAAGATAATTAAAATAGACTTTAACATAGTAATAATAATTATGATTCATAAGGGTATTTTAATTTAGTAATAGTTAATGTATGAAATTAAAGTTAACTTGACTTAATTTTATTGAAGAAAATTCTAATTCTTTTAAAGAAATGTTTTATGGGCTTGATTTCATTAGGGTTTCATTTTAAAACGATATCATTGAAGTATCAATGAAAACAATGGAAAAAAGTAAATGGTTGTTTTATTTTTGAGACTCTGAAATAAAGTACACTCACTATTGTAGTTAAATACTTTTTACTTCAGCTCAGTAGATTAATTATATTTCTCTGATTGTCAGGTTTGAAGTTACTGGATATGATCTCA